TTATTTTTAAAATTTATGCTAATTTAACAAAGGAAATGGTAACTTGTTGTCTTAATTTATATTCTCTGGGAACTGAACATCTCAAATCATTGTGTTCTAGTTACATGGCATCTTTTGTAAGTATCTTTTGCCCTTCTATCTCTGAGTCTTAATTTTTTTCTGACCAGTACGAGGTCTTAAACACCAAATATAATGCCCCTTTGCTACATTTGCTGCCATATGTTTTGGTTGATGTTTGCTTTTCTGCTTTATACTTTTTGTAGTCCAACTTACAGATCTTACTCTTTTATATTCCTTGTATTGCTTCTAAGCCTATAAAGTTACCTTTTCCTCTAGAGGTTGGCAAAATATTCAGTTCTATTTTTCTGAGATTTTGATGTTAAACAAAAACACATTTAACTCTTCCACTCAATTGGAATTTATTATAGCACATAACATAAAGTGAGGTTCTAAAATTACTGTTTCTCCAAATTGCTGGATAATTGTCCCAACAACATTTATTGGGTAATCCTTTCATCCCCTCATGGAGCTGTAATGAATCTTACATCTTTGTACATAATTGGGTCCATTTCAGTGCCATCTGTTCAATTACAGTGATCTCTCAGTCTGGTCCTGGGCAGATAGAGATGAATGTTTGAAACTGCAAAGCTACGATGTTAACTGTGGACTTGATATGTCCTCGTCAGGGACCAAGAGCCACTTTCTGTCAGAAAGCACCCTGAGACAGTTATATAACTTTCATTTGTTTACTTATTTGCTTGTTTAATTGTTAAATCCCCTCCAAGTTAAAGCTCTTTGAGGACTGTGATTGGCTTAAACAATGTTTAACTTTATCTGAGACTTGTTCTCCTGGAAAACAGCAATGGAAATGGTGTACAGCAAAGAATCACCCTCACAAATATGACTTAGATGAGATTCGGGTATGACCCCCTTGTTTTCCTCTGACAAGGGCAGACACAGGCCCTCCAAATCCCAGTCCTTTGTCTCATAAAGGATTAGCTGAACTGTTCGTTCCCACTGATGTACCTGGACGAAATACTTGCTGACTTGCTGACTTGTCCGGGACAATTTATTTAGCACTCCCAACCCCCTGAACTTTGACCCATGCGCAGCCTTGAACCAGCACTGGAGGCATTGGAACTCCTTCACAGCCCTCCTGAAAATAGGCTGACTCCAGGGCTTCCCTGGTGGCGCAGTGGTTGAGAGTCCGCCTGCCGATGCAGGGGACACGGGTTCGTGCCCCGGTCCGGGAAGATCCCACATGCCGCAGAGCGGCTGGGCCCGTGAGCCATGGCCGCTGGGCCTGCGTGTCCGGAGCCTGTGCTCCGCAACGGGAGAGGCCACAGCAGTGAGAGGCCCGCGTACCAAAAAAAAAAAAAAAAAAAAAGAAAGGCTGACTCCAGAGAAAAGCCATCCCTCAACCACTGTCTGATGCAGCCCCCTGCTCTCCTACTCTGCGACGCCCAGTTCTTTACTCCTCCTATAAAAGTAAAGCCCTTTTCTGCTTGACTTAGAATCTCAAAGATGTTCAGGTCAGAACATTCTTTCTGTTATCGTGGTCTCCTTTCACTTATTACAACATTCTCTTTCACTTCATGTTATTATTTTCTACTTGAGAAGAGAGAATCTAGTTTGACTATCTCTTGACTTGAGATATCAACTCCCCACTGTAGCCCCAGTGTCTAAACAATTCCCGTAGCAGAGGAGGTGATTAATCAGGTTCAACTAATGGTTCAAGCTAGTTTTTTTTAATTATAAGAATAATACATAGGGCTTCCCTGGTGGCGCAGTGGTTGAAAGTCCGCCTGATGATGCAGGGGACACGGGTTTGTGCCCCGGTCCGGGAGGATCCCACGTGCCGCGGAGCGGCTGGGCCCGTGAGCCATGGCCGCTGAGCCTGCGCATCCGGAGCCTGTGCTCCGCGGCGAGAGAGGCCACAACAGTGGGAGGCCCGCGTACCGCAAAAAAAAAAAAAAAAAGAATAATACATAATCATCAAAAGAAAAAAATCGAACTGTCAGAATGCTATGAAATAAAATATAAAATCTCCCTTCTCTTCAAGTTCTATCCTTTAGAAGTTTCCGCTGTTTATATCTTTCAGGACATTTTCTATGCTTATGTGAAAAAATATATGTATATATAATAAATGACAGTATTTATATCTAATATTCTTCAACTTTCTGGATTCACTTAGCATTCAGTATATCAGTATATCTTGGGTGTTTTTTCCGTATCAGTGTATGTGGAGTTACATCCTTCTGTCTAACAACAGCATAGTGTTCCATTAGAGATGTACCATAATTTATCTATTTTGTTCCAGGTATTTGATATTACAAACAACACTGTTGTAAATACCCTTATATATGCATAAGGAAAAATTTAAAGAATTTAATATTTAAGAATTCAAAATTTTGGTAGATTACCAAATTATCCTTCAAATTTACATTTCCACCAAAGGAGAATGAGAACATTTTTTTTTTTCTAAATGGGGTTATTATTGGACTTTGCCTAGATTATAGATGAAAAGTTGACTTTTGCTACTAATACAGTTTACATTTCTTTCACTGTGTGAGATTGAATATCTTTTCACATGGTTGTTGGCCTTTCTAAAATTGAGTTTTTCTTTTCTTACTGATTTTAAAGAATTCTTTTTATATCGAGTAATTTAGTTTGTCATATATCTTGCAAGGAATTCACCCATTGGTCTTTTGACATTGTACATGCTTTTTTTTGCCGTAGAAAATGTTCCTATTTTTATATAGTCTATTATTATTTTCCTGTTATAGCTTCTGCATCACTTTCAATTCAATGTATACGCCTATCACAGTTTACGTAAAGCCAACATCTATGAACGTTTGTTTTCCATTTTTAAATTATTTTAAACAATATTTGCAGATGCATATTTATATTCATTGTTAACTATTTCCTTTGAGTAAATTCCTAAAAGTGTTATTTTGGAGTCAAAAGGTGTGAACATTTTAAACATTGAATAGGTGTTGCCGAATCGAGGCTACGATTTTCACCCTCTTTTGGGTTCAGTGATCTACCCCATCAGTAGAAATGCCTCTTTTCACCCAGAAGAGTTAGATGCTGGAAATGAAAAGGGATGACGAGCAGGAACACAAGGGTCCAGGATAAAACCACCTTTTAAGAAGACATTCTAAGGAACTTCAGCACATGTGCAAATTCAAGTTAGCATTTTTATCACTTAGCTTTTACTCCTTCTGTCACAGTTTGCTGGAGGGGTTTATTGGTTTCTCCTGAGCTTTGGGGGTGGGGATGGGGACTCATTAGAACTCTGCCTAATAGTTAGGTTTGCATGCAATGATGGTGACATATATCAGCAAGCGAGAAGGGACCCCTTTCTCTCCATTTTCCTGCTGCATATGAGCTCATGGTCAGTACAGTTGACATATCTCCTCATGCTGCGGAGCAACTATGCCTGTGCGCCACAGCTACGGAGCCTGCACTCTAGAGCCCACGTGCCACAACTACTGAGCCCACGTGTCACAACTCCTGAAGTCCGTGCACCTAGAGCCCGTGCTCTGCCACAGGAGAAGCCACCACAATAAGAAGCCTGCGTGCCGCAACAAAGAGTAGCCGCCGCTCGCCGCAACTACAGAAAGCCTGCGCGCAGCAACGAAGACCCAACGCAGCCAAAAAAGAAAACAACAACAACAACAAAAAAACTAGATTGGAGCAAGGGGCACGTTTTATGTACTTGTGAATAATGAATTTGGACTAAATTGGATTTCTCTCTTTTAAATGTAAATGAAAGGAGAATTTACAAATTCTGACTTGCTGCTAATTCTACCAAAGGTAAATTGCACACTGCCTTGCATACTTACAGACAAGTATGAAGCTTGAATTTCTCTGTTTTCAAAACTAAAACTGGTTTTGGCACTTTAGTTAAAATGACAAGGTGGCTGATTTGCTTGATGATTCCTTTCTATGAATTCCAAAGAATTATATATTCTTTGGATATATATATATATCTTACACCCAGGAACTTGGTTTAACGGATCAATCTTCTGCATTAATTTCGCACTTCTATTTATGCCTCTGTCATCTTCGCCACAAGACTGTGAGCTCCCTGAGAGCAGGCGCACCTTGTGATGGAGAATGTGCCCTGCTCAGGCAGGTGCTGGGGAGACCTTTGTCAAATCCCTAAGTGTAGCCACACGTGACTTCCTCTGGAAGTCTTGCAGCTGCTGGTTGTTCAAAGCAGGGAGTTCTGATGTGATCTGACATTGCAGAACCTTCTCCCTAAGTAAGAACATTCATGTTACAGGAACTTTCTGCAGGGTGATGTAGCAGAGGCCATGAACTTTGTGTGGACAAAATCATTAGCTCTTCATACAGTAAAACCTTGAGGTGGTGACTCCTCTGCTTAGTTCCTGTGTGCTTTGGGGCAAGTTCCTTAACTTTTCAGTGCCCTGAAAAACTCACCATGGATTTTTGTCCTTGGTTTCCCTCAAGTGCGTGTCAGGTTCTCAGTCCCACGTGGGAGCGTAGGTGCCCCCCTACCCTAGCCCTCCTTTAGGGTTTTGCAAACTTTCTCAACAGAGACATGCCAGTCTTGCTTTTGGAACCTGTGTGAGGTAAGAATGGACTCTTGTCAAGAGAACAGGACAGGAGGCTGATGGGGGTACGGGAGGGGGATCAGGGAAAAGAAAGCCTTAAGCATGAGACAGCTGGGCATAATCGGGGTTCTTGGGTCAGCTGGGAAGCGGAAGCATTCCCAGTTAGGCATAAACCATTAGGACACTGCAGGTGGGGGAGGACACGATCTTACCAAAAATGCAGCTTGGTGAGAGCCAGGTTCCGTGCTCATCCGCCTTCCTTACCATTCTCTGTGCCCTCTTTGCTGATGGTCAGAACTTCTAGCTGAAGAGCTGGTGTTTAAGATCCCCGACCTTCCTCGGCATCGAGGCATGGTCTGGGGCTCAGAGGGGAGCGGACTGGGGTTCAGGAATCTCACTTCTGGTTTTCATTCTCAGAGCTGCTCCAGAGCTCCCAAGTGATGTGGCTGACTCCCTTGGCAAGACTGGCCTCAGTTTCCCTGGGATGAGCAAGTCGGAAGGTGAAGACCCAAGGTGAGTCACCATCTGCAAAAGGTCACAGATGGCAGACTTAAAACGTGCATTGGGAGGGAGAGGAAGCCAGAAAGCACAAAATTGGAGTTGGCGCATGAGAGAAAGAGATTAAACAGAAAAAAGTAGAATTGCCAGCAGCTTTGGATTTACCCAGCTGGAGTTTCTCCACTGGGCAAGGAAAGCTTAAGTAATCCAAATTCATTTCCAGTTAAAGGCAGAGCTCAGAGAGCAATCAGACAGGTGACCACAGCTGGTACCACATTTCCCCCGGAGATAAACTACTAACGCTAAACATAAGCCGTGCATGCTGGGAGAGGGGCTGTCTGGGATCAGCCGGCCCCAGGCACAACGCAGAAGCTGGAATGTTTCAATTATTCAGCACACCTACAGTAAATGCCTGCTCTGTGCTAGGCACTGAGCTTCCAGCGTGTGCCTGAGATACGCTCCCTGCCTTAGAGTCCCTCATAGCCTATAGTGGGAGATGCACAAAGAGAGTGTTGCCGGATCACGGGATAAGTAATCTGATGACAGTATCCAAAGTCACCCTGTAAAGAAGGAAGCAGGGAAAGGTGGATGGGGGTCGGGAGTTAGGAGAGACTTCCTGCAGATTCAGACACCTTGACTGAGTATGGAATGACAAATAGGCATTATCACGCCGACAAGGAGGGGAGAGAAAGGACTTTGGAGGCAGCTGGAATAGCAGGTGTGATGATGTGGTGGCAAGAGAGAGCTTGGGTGTACTCTGAGGAAATGCCAGCAGTCCTGTAAGGCTGCAGTGTGGGGGGCACCTGGGGATGTGCCTGAAGTGAGACCCCTGGGGCAGGATGGGGCCAGGCTATGTGAAGCAGTCTGGATTATATTTTGGAAGATGATGGGGAGTGACTGGAGGGTTTTGAGCAGAGTGTTGTGATCAGATTTCTGCTTTTAGAAGACTGTTCAGACAGCGTCGTGGGGGATTATTTGGGGGGAAGACTGGAGGAAGTGAGATCGTCTGCAAGATGATAGCAGTCGTCTAGGTGAATGTACTGTGGCCTGAACTATGGCTCTGGGTGGGAGGATGGAGAAAAGGAGATGGATTTGGGAGATCCTGAGGATAGAATCCATGGACTTGGTGATTGAGTGACTGTTTCAGTGTGGCTTGTCAAAAGAGTCAGGTTTCTCATACAACTCAAAAGTAAAAAGCAAACAACCCAATCAAAAAAATGGGCAGAAGACATAAACAGACATTTCTCCAAAGAAGACATACAGATGGCCAACAGGCACATGAAAAGATGCTCAGCATCACTAATTATTAGAGAATGCAAATCAGAACTACAATGAGGTATCACCTCATACCAGTCAAAATGGCCATCATCAAAAAAGTCTACAAATAAATGCTGGAGAGGGTGTGGAGAAAAGGGAACCCTCCTGCGCTGTTGCTGGGAATGTAAACTGGTACAGCCACTATGGAGAACAGTATGGAGGTTACTTAAAAAACTAAAACTAGAGTTACCATATGATCTGGCAATCCCACTCCTGGGCATATATCCAAAAAAGATGAAAGCTCTAATTTGAAAAGATACATGTACCCCCAATGTTCATAGGGACATTATTTACAATAGCCAAGACATGGAAGCAACCTAAGTGTCCATCAACAGATGAAAGGATAAAGAAGATGTGATATATATCTACCATGGAATATTACTCAGCCATGAAAAAGAATGAAATAATGCCATTTGCAGCAACATGGATAGACCTAGAGATTAGCATACTAAGGGAAGTAAGTCAGAGAAAGACAAATATTATATGATATCACTTATATGTGGAATCTAAAAAATAGTACAAATGAACTTATTTACAAAACAGAAACAGACTCACAGACATAGAAAACAAATTTAAGGTTACCTAAGAAAAAGCAGGGGAAGGGATAAGTTAGGAGTTTGGGGTTAACAGGTACACACTACTATATATAAAAGAAACAACAAGGATTTACTGTGTAGCACCCAGAACTATATTCAGTATCTTGTAGTAAACTGTAATGGAAAAAAAGAGTCCGATTGGCAACAGGGGGTGCCATCCTGGGAGATGGGGAGGAGAGGAGGACAAGGGAGGGGCCTTAGAATGCATAGAGGGGGCAAATCGAGAGGTGCCTGAAGGACATACAAATGTCAGGCAGTTTGGAGCCTCACCCGTTTTTCTTTTGCTGTTAACTCCCACTTTCTGAAGTGGGCACCACTGGGCTCCCACCCTCCCCTGTTCTAAGCAGTAGCACCCTTACAACTGTGTTTAGAGGATGGCCGGGTGGTGGTATTTGCGGATATCAATTTCATGGTGCAAGGGGGCTCACTTTTGCCAGCCTGATCTTTGAGAACTGAGTTGAGCGTCATTTGTGGGGGAGGATCAGGGAGAGGAAGGGAGGGACAAGTAGGGAGAATCCATGGAGGACAAAATGAAGGAGCTTAATGCCGTGCTCACCAGCAGCCAGCGCTGGTCTGGTTCACGGGAAGTCATTGGAGGATGGCGGAGGAATTAATTCTGAGGCTGTGTCGGGCTGGGGCAGGGAGAACAGAGCTCCTCTAACACACAGGTGGCAAGCCGGAATCTGCCTGCAAAACCCAGAACACAGATGTGTTTTGTTCGGCTCTGGAATTGTTTTTCTAAATTAGTTGCCAGCATTTAAAAATCAAGAGACTTCACATAAAATTTGGATTTCAGACTTCTCTTGGAAAAATAAAATAAGACCCGCGTACAGGTGTTCCCACCAGGCAAAAATCAGCTGGAGCTGCCTTTCAGGTGGCCGTCCTTTTCTGTGTGCACCAGCCCCACCCTCCTCTTGTCTCCCCTGAGCCCACTTTTCTCATCGATGGGACCGACCACCTTCCCTAAGCCGAGCAGACCAGGGGCCAGGGGCCCACTCCTTTCTTAACCTTCAAGACTGTTGGCAGCACGAAATGACTGTTTTCTCTCTCCCTCTCTTCGAAAAAGACTTTGGCCTAAACTGAGTGCCTACTCTGGGAACTGTCTCCCTTCTACCATCCTGCCTGTTGCCAGGCGCATGAATATAAAATATATACTCGGCCACTCTGGGTCAGGAGCCGCCCACTGGCCTCTGGACAGTAGACTGTAAAATTGCAACTGTGACGCATGTCACGGGAGAGAAGTATGTTAGAGTTCAAGGCATAGTCCAGAAGGAGAGGGCACATGTCTCTGAGATCTACTGGATGAGAAAGCATTAATGATGAGCACGTGGGAAGAAAGGCTGTTGAGGGTGGAGGGAGCAGCAAGGTGGAGAGATGCTAGGGCGCAAAGACATGGACAGATGAGCCAGGAGGCAACTGTACGAGCCCAGGAGAAAGATGCTCGCTTGGATTAGAGAAATGGCGGGGGATATGTTTGAGGGAATTTTAGGAAGGAAGTAGATAGCACTGAGGGATGGATTGGTGATAAGGAGAGGGCTGTGAAGTGATGTGTCCTTAGTTTCTGGTTTGTATAACTAGACAGTGGTGGCATTCACTGAGCTATGGAGCTGCAGGAAAGCATGAGCAAGGGAGGGTCACAAGTTCATCCCTTCGGAGATTGAGGTGACTTGGAGACATTGCAGAGGAGCTGACAAATAGACGGTTGGATACACAGGTCTAGAACTCAGAGAAGCTTGGAGTCTAAAGAGAGCTATCTGCTACGGATCTGCTGGTCTTACGGTTGGCTGCCTACTGGCCACTTCGCTTTCTCAGATCTGGACAGTTTCATTGTTCATTCATTCATGAATCCAGTACATGTTTATTAGATCCCTAATGTGTATCCACTCTGATAGGTGCCGGCTACATAGTGGTAAACAAACAGATGCTATTCCTCCCCTCAAGGAACCAAGCTGTGAGCTTTGCAGAAAGTGTGGCCACGATTGGATTCCCTCATCTCTAGTTTTGTTTGCGCCTCCTCACACCATTGGGGTTATTAACGGTGGGCTGGCAGGTCTCTGTATTTCCCTTTCTCCTGGATTGTGATTAACCATTTTGAAATGATTTACTCCTGTTTTAATGCTTCACAGCTACGTTTAGACAAGAGTTTCAAAACTGCCTGCCACCATTACTCTGATGATGGTCTGCGTAGTATATTTGTCTCTAGACGTTGGGTCTGAAGCTCTGAATGCTCTGAGGTGGGTCACCAGACCTTGACTACCTTCCTGCTGATTAGAGCTGATCTCCCAGTCCCCGAAGGAAGTATTTCAGATACTGTGAAACTTGGCCTTTCTCAATACTCAGAGCCAGAAGAGACTGAATTAGTCATGAGCATTGATTTGTTCCTCAGTCTCCTTCTCTAGACTTTCAGTACCTTGAGGGAAGGACCATAGTATTCAACCTTGTATCTCTGGTTTCCAGTCCAGTCCCTGGTGTACCAGAGGCAGTGAATGAATATACATGCTGAGTGAATTAATGAACATGGGGCATCTTTGGATGACTGTCTTGTTCATTTGGTAACTTTTTATTTGACTTAAACTTGTATGTTTTTGCCTCATCTCCTTAACTTAAATTTGAGTTGCTCTCAGTAAGAACTTGGTTGTTCTGTGATGTTGAACCCCAGCAGATGCTCACTACAGATGTGCTGAGTGATTGCTTAGAATTAGGAAGAGCTTGGTTCTAATCACTCTCCTTCCCCTGTGATGATCTCATCAGTGGTTTTCTCAATTTTGCCCAGCTTACAAGAGCAAGTCCAAGTTACTTCTTGAATACTTACCACCTCTCAAATTTTGGATGGAAGGACTCTTAAGCAGGGCAACTTTGAAGAGCTCTTTGGCTGCCACAAACTAAATTACTTTCTCTCCGTCTCTTCCCGGTGTCTTAGGAGTTGCTATTATTATTATTTCACAATGGGAAGAGGACTGAAGCTCAAGGAAGTTAGTCAACTTGCCCAGAGTTGGGATTTGAATCCAAATGGTTCTGATCCAAAACCCACGCTCTAAGTCAAAGACTGTACCATTTCTGTAAACATCAGAATCACCGGGAGCCTAGGAACATTCCTGGCCT